TACAACGTTAGAAGATCTTGCGGATGAGCTCCCCACCACGTTCCGGTAATTGTTCGGAGAAAATTGATCCTTTGTTGGCATTTTCGTCTCAGATACTCAATGTGGGATCTCTAGGTGCATTTGGAATCGAACCAGACCCCAAGATATTTGAAAGACATGGAATGAGTGATCGGCTTACCCAAAAGTTGAAGCTTCGGTTGTGCTGGGCTATGTTTCCTAGAAAAAACGACCAACTCAGTTTTCTCCGTGGAGAATTCGATACCTAGCTGGATAGCCCAAGTAGACAAATTGTCTAAGGTATCCTGTAAGGGTCCTTGCAGGTTGACCCCTGTGGGCCCTGTCATAGACACTACTCCGTCATCTGCAAGTTGTCTCAGCGTGCAGTTGTCACTTAGACAATTGTCAATTTCTCTGACGTAGAAATTATACAAAAGGGGGCTTAAACATGAGCCCTGGGGGAGACCCATGTAACTAAATCGAGAAGCTGTAGAGTTTCCATGAGAAAAGCTCATATGTTTCTCTGACAGCAAATTGTACAAAAAGTTATTAATTAATGAGGAAAGGCCACAAGCGTGGAGTTTGTCTGAAAGGACTTTAACCGATACTGAATCAAAAGCCCCCTTAATATCCAAGAACACAGAAGCCATTTGCTCTTTTTTAGCAAAAGCCAACTGGACTTCTGTGGAAAGCAACGCGAGACAGTCGTTCGTTCCCTTACCCCTACGGAAACCAAATTGAGTATCTGAGAGTAGGTGGTTCGTCTCAACCCATTTGTCCAAGCAAGAAAGGATCATTTTTTCCAACAATTTTCGAATATACGATAACATCGCAATAGGACGATACGAGTTGTGATCTGACGTGGGTTTTCCAGGCTATAACTCTCACCCGCCTCCAATCATCCGGAACAATATTTAGCTCCAGGAACTGACCAAACAAGTTCAACATGCGCCTCTTAGCGACGTCTGGGAGGTTCTTCAACAAGTTGAACTTGATTCTATCAGCCCCCGGAGCTGAATTGCCACACGAAAGGAGCGCGAGTGAGAGCTCCAGAATTGAAAAAGGCTGGCTGATCTCGTCTACCGAATTCGTCGTTTCGCGAGGAATCATCTGTGCCGGCACAGAATCAGGACATACTTTTCGCGCGAACTTGAGAATCCAACTATCGGAGTACTCCTCGCTCTCGTTGTTTGAAGACCGGTTACGCATCCTTCGCGCCGCGTTCCAAAGCGTATTCATCGACGTTTCGCGCGATAATCCGTCCACGAATTGCCGCCAGTATCCGCGTTTCTTGGCTTTGATGAGGCTCTTGAGTTCGCGTTCAAGAGCCGAGTACGCTTCGAAATGTACGGGTGTTCCACGTTTCCGGAAAAGCTTAAACGCGTCGTACTTTTTACGATAAACCTCAGTGCATTGCTGGTCCCACCAAAGGGAAAGAGGTTTCCTACGGAAAGACGTTCCTGGAACCGGCCGAGTTTGAGCTTGAAACGCGCTGTCCAAGATCAGATTGGAGAGGAAGTTATATTCCTCCAACGGTGGAAGCCCTTCTACCGACGTTAGGGCATCTTCTATCACATTCTTGAACTTTGTCCAATCGATATTACGGGTAAGATTGTACGCGACGTTAACGGGTTCCGACGGATTGAACCCACTGGCAACTGAAACTTTGATCGGCAAGTGATCACTACCGTGGGGATCTTGGATCACATTCCACGTGCAATCCAACGATAATGAGTTAGAGCAAAGTGTGAGGTCTAATCTACTTCCATTCGAGGATGGGCCAGCCAAACGTGTTACTTCTCCATTGTTAAGAATTGTCATATTAAAGCTGTCGCAGAGGTCATACATCAAAGTAGAACGGTTGTCATCATACAGTTCCCCCCAGCCTGTACCGTGGGAATTAAAATCAAAAAATTCAAATTTGAGAGAGAAAATTTACAGAATTTTAAAAAGTTATGGTCGAAGTCACCGATTTGAGCCAAACTTGGCCAAAACGCTTATTTTGGCATTTTGACCAAACGCCTTTTTTGATTTTACTCTAAAGTGCCTAGATCCTTCTGGGCTACAACCCTGGATTTTAGAAATTTTTAAAAATATCAACTTTCAGAAGAGATTACTCCACAACCAAATAAGCTATTCATGATCTTAGAACGTCAAGTTGAAGGTTTTTTAATGTTAATTTTTATAAATGTACAAACATTTTGTTTTTTTATAGTAACTACAGTAAACAGGCTGACTACCGGCAGGTAACTAAATTGTCATATTTTGGCATATTTTCACCATAGGCGGGATTTTTTATTTCTTAATACTTTGGGCTCAAATTTTCACCACACTTTGGAAAACTCTTGTACTTGATGTGTTTCCAAGGGAAAATGATTTAGACAAATAGTTTTTGAGATATGACCAGATGAGTGAGAGGTAGTTTTGAGCTTTTCTGGTGGAAAATCAATGCTATATAATATTTTTTTATTTTTTCTTTAATTCCTTCACGCCGATGGCACAATAATATGTTTATGTTATTTTTCACATGGACAGGATTCTCATTATATGAAATCATAACTACCTCATTTATTTACTTCTGTCAATAATTTAAAAATTTCTAAAATTCAGGTTTGTAGCCCGGAAGGATCTAGGCACTTTAGAGCAAAATCAAAAAAGGCGTTTGTTCAAAATGCCAAACTAAGCGTTTTGGTCAAGTTTGGCTAAAATCGGTGACATCGACCACAGGTGGTGGACCACTTGAGATGGAATGACCCATATGCATTTTGATTAACATTCGAGGTCCCACCATTTTTACATATTCGGCACAAAAGATACTTTCTGCCCCGCCCCATTCATGAAAATCGGCGGGAAATTCTGTGAGGGGTGAGCTATTTTGTGTGCAGAATGTGTAAAAAAGGAGGAACTTCGAATTTTAATCTGAATGTATATATGGAGGTACCAGAAATGTTTTGCACTGCAGTGTCCTCTGTGAACAATTAACGGAAAATATATATGTCACCGCAAACAACAGCAGTGACATCTGATGGAACATGAATGCAGAAGCTTGACAAAATGTTTAAATAATCCAGATGCCTTTTAGGATTATACATAAAAAAAAATCCAATTTTGGTCAATTTCCACCGAAATTAAATGAAACTACTGTATGGCTTACATTACCCATAATCGCATATCAGTCCCATCTTTGCTTGATCACTGTTAAACAGTGCAATGAATGAGCGTTTGTTTCGGGATAGTTTCAGTGTTAGAGTTATGTTAGTTTTGATCCGTAATCAGCCCTGCCGACCCCTCCAACATTAGTTGCAGGCAGTGGTTGTTAGATCATGCGACACTGTATTTACTACTATGTTAGATGTATGATTCGTCAAGTTTATACAACTCAATGTTTCAAATGATGTAAACTATTTATCTTATAATTACAAAAACAAACTTAAAATTACAATTATATGCAAATGCAAAATAAAACTTGAAAAATCATCGTCAATCCTTTTATTCTTGGGCAGGGCCTGACAATGTGAATCTGATTTTGATCAGTGAACGGGCACCATATGGTAGATTCTCTCACTATAAACCTGTCATTTCTAGCATATTTGAACTATTTAATAAATGGAATCCATAACATGGGTTACGCCCCCCAAAGCGGACCCTCCACATCCTATCTCTGTCTTATCTCAAATGTATCAATATATAAATTGGAAATGACGTTCAATCAGATAAACCCACACCCCACTCACTTGGCCAGGCTTCGTCCAGTGGGCAGTGCGCTCTACACTGCTAGTTCCCTTTCTTTCAAACTCACCCCAAATTTGATATTTTACCCCTTTGAGTGTTGATTAATCCCAATGAAACATTGTGACAAAGTACGGACTTGAGGTTACTGGAGTATTAAATAATCTAGGTCCTATTTAGGATTATATCTGAAAATTCCAAATCTGGCCAACGCTCACCTTGAGCTTCATTCACTCAAATTCGTAAAAACGTAGGTTACTCATGGAGCAGGAGTACATATGTCCTTGATTGCCAGGAACAAATTTCGAATACGAGGCTTCACTCAGTCTATCCGTATACTCCTAGACTGAGTAAAATTTTCGTCGATTATATTCGAGCAGACTTTTGAAGCAAAAGGAGGAAAATTTGTACCTTCAATTATTCAAATTTAAGTTAAAAACCTGCTCGGTTGTGTATCGAACGGATGCCACAAACAAAGTTTAAGTGCACCTCACACGACAGAAGTTTCGTCAATATTTTTATGTCAATATTTGCAACAATATTTTAGGGGGGTCATCTATACAGAGTCGCTCCACACCAACATTGTTGTATCTGATGGTATATTCCGAGTCAAATCATAACCACCTTGACAAAAGTTGGAGCGGAACAGGCCGCATCTGCTGTTGTATTTAAACAAAAGGGGAAAATGAGGAAAATATTGAAACCTGAATTTAAACTTTCTTGATTTTGCGTCAATGTTTGCATCAATATGATTGTCTATACTTTTGAGTATTAACAATATGTTTGCCCGTGTGGTGCTTTCTAGAGAAAATACATCGGGTTCATTGTTCGATGGATCGTTCAAGTCTTCGACTTCAAGTCGCAAAATCGACCATTGGAAAAGGCCCGCTTATCCAAAGTCACAGGATTCTACCATTATGGATCAATCACAATCCGAATAACCATGTCTCGCTTCACTGATAAAACAGGTACGATCGGATCGCTAAAGCTGCACAATTGGACACCGTAAATTTTACTTGAAAATCAAAACGCGCGTTGCTTCCTACGTCCTAACGAATCTTACCAAATATGCAAGCAAGCTTCTACCTTTTACCTACGTATCAAATATCGAGCCCATATCCTTACTAGAGTTATAACGCTTTTACTAGATTCATCTTCACTAGTTCTAAAATAGTACTTCTAACCACTTGAAGCTAAAAAAAAATATCAATACACATTCAAAAACCATCATCTGTGAACCATACTGATGTAATTTTGTGTTTCCCTGTATCCAGACAATGTGGATCGCTTCCCGGACAAGGACCTGCCACGGTGGAACTTCACCGACTTCATGCACTCGTTTATGATTGTGTTCCGGGTACTGTGTGGAGAGTGGATCGAATCCATGTGGGACTGTATGCTGGTGGGCGACGTGTCCTGTATTCCGTTCTTTTTGGCCACCGTAGTGATAGGAAATTTAGTAGTAAGTATCTGTAAATCGCCAAGCGTTCCCAACGGGAGTAACCAACTAACCGCATTGCTTCCCGTCCCAGGTACTTAACCTTTTCTTAGCTTTGCTTTTGTCAAATTTCGGTTCATCCTCACTGTCGGCACCGACGGCCGACAACGAAACGAACAAGATCGCGGAGGCGTTCAATCGGATATCGCGCTTCTCCAACTGGATCAAGCTGAACGTCGCCAACGTGCTCAAGTTCGTGAAAAGCAAGTTAACAAGCCAGATTGCGTCCGTGCAGCCCGCAGGTGAGCAGCACAATCATCTCAGTTGGATATGGAACGAAGGTTATTATCCACTTGCGTTTTCTAACACTAACTACCAACTACTACCGCTACTAAACGAACCTTGTACTAACCCACCCCCTTCCACTGTTGTTGAGAACCCAGAACCGACATCATTGTGTTTCCCATTCCCATAGAGAACATTTGTGTATTTGTACCTGGCCATCCAACCAAATCCCCGATCATTCTAGCCAACTAGCCTATCATGTAACATTTGTATACCCAACCTTCCCAATCCACCCTCCCACGTCGTTCCCTCTGTCAGTCAATGTTTGTACCTCGGTTTGCTGTACAGTTAAAACCTTTGTTTCTTTTATGTGTGTTGAGTATGTAGCTATGAATTGCTTATCCCATTGGCCCAAACAAATTATCACTGATCAGTTCCGTTCCGTTTAAATATACTATCAATTCAGTTTTCCAAAAAAACAAACAACTCTGTTGCAAACAAATCTTCTTTTGCCGAAACCTGCTTCTTTCGAACTCATCGAACGTCCAAATCGTGCCGTCCAGTCCCACACTTTTTTTCAGTTCTTAACCCGCAGACGATTATATCCTTCTTGTGTACCTATTAGTTATACCTTTCGTTTGAAACCGATAAAGTGCGAACCGAAAACAGCGAAAGCTAGTGCCAACAGATGTAAACCAGTGGATTCTACCCTTCAAGCCCAGTTCAAATTAGATTTCTGTCTTCTCATTTTCCGTATTTTTTTTTTTTTTTTGGTTTGATTTGTTTTGGTTCTATTCGGTTTTTGGTCTGTTTTCTGTCACTATTTCTATCGTTCGTTGTTTAGTTAGAAATTGTTAGAAATGTCAAAAGAAAAAAAAAACTCCTACCCGTAGTGAGCGTGTTAATTGGTGTGGATTTGAAATTTTTATTTTTTTCCTTGTTTGTATTGGTGATAGATTTGTATTTTAAATTAGAAAAAAAGAGTATCCATCCTCCAATCTGTCTAAATAGTTTGGGTTCCCCATGATTTTTTTTTCCAAGCTCCTTTCAGAATTTTTGTTAACATGTGTTTTATTTAGTTTACAGTAGAATTAGCGACATTTTATTTAAGTATGAAGTACGGAAATTGGTTTGACGGATTTTATTACAACAGTGAGAAAATGATTTTGCACACATGAAACGCATTTTCAGAAAATCTGTACGGTTAGAAATGCAATGAACTGTCAAGTAAAGGGAACATCAGAGCTTCCTCAGTGATTCCCAAGAGTACTGATTAGGTCAGTAAATAGGTCAGAAGTTCTGAGACTGAAACTAGAAAGCAAACTTTTCCCCAAACTTCAGCTGTTTTTTTAATAACTTTTTGAACGATTTTATCGTCTAATTATCCCTAACATTCATGCAAATGCTGCACCATTGAGTTTTTTAAAAGCATTCCACAAATAGGAATATAGGATTATGCCTTGTTCAGTCTACAGAGTTATATGTAACATGTTATAGCGCTATCCTGATGGTGGTTTCTGTGTTGCAATTATTTGACAACCGTTATAACATGTTATAACTCTCCAGTCTGGACAGCGTTTTAGAGAATTCAGTTTGCACAGGTTGAAGTATGGCACCACTTCATTAAAACAAGAGCCTCTTGTTCTTGAAATTTCTTTTAAATGACATCGACAGAGGCGTAGAGATGGCTTAGTGCGCCTTTGACAATCTTTTGAAATGACATCCCCACCAAATTGAAAAAAATGTGGGGTTGTGTACGAGACATGAACGCATGGTTGACGTAGACTACGTTAAGCTGTTTAGTAAACCTCTCGGACAGGCTTGCCAAAAGCTCCATCAAGAGTCATCAATAAGCTGAGCTCCAGCATATTTTGATGTCGAAATATTTTGGTATACTTGATGCTCAAGCTGGGCTCTTGCCAAACCCGCATCTTTGTGAGGGATGTGGAGCTCGTTCTCGGGTGTACGTCGACTCTGCCTGCCGAGCAGAAATTTTTACTTCGTGATGCGCTCGCGCAAAGCAGTAAACTTGGAGCTTCGTAGAGAGCTTGGTTCTTGATGGCTTTTCCCTTTGCGCATGAATGAGTGATTTTGTATTGTATTCGAGAAAGAAGTGCACAACCAAGAAATGAAAAAAAAAAAACACATTATGGAACGTATGCATACATTCCGTAACGCCAAAGTGGCAATTGTATTCATAGGGTAACTGTCTATATTCTATTCTATATATTCGTGTTGAAAATAAACGTATTTGTTTTGGTTTGGTTTGACAGGTATGCGAACAAAATAAACATATTTTGAAATTATTTTAGTATTTGAGTGCAGGGTAAAGCAAAATAAAACGGATTGAAAAGAAATGAAATTAAAAAAGATTTTCGGGCAGGGCATCTAAATCCCTGCTTATTTTGCAACTGAAGGTTATGAATTGATCGATTCCGACTCCACCTGATTTAAACAACGCTTGAAATAGGCGGAACAACAAAATGTAAACAATGGCTTTATACATAAATTCTTCGAAAATCAAAGCACATCCAAACAATCTAACGCCATCATCTGATAGAGTAAACTTCCTTTATCAAATGGAAATTTTAGTTTACATGGTAGTGTTTTGATTCTCAAGAAGTTTGTGTTTAAAGCCATTGCTTACGTTTGGTTATTCTGCCTATTTCAATTGTTGGTCCAGAAAGATTTCCGAGCTACCGTGTGTGCAGCGAGGGTAACGAATTGAATGAATGAACATTAGACTGATGCAAAATTTGACTTTTTCGCTCCATCGTGCTTAATTGTTTTCAAATCGAGTCCTGATTAGCCTCCCAAAGTTACAACTCATTTAGTTAGAAACAGACTTCGCACAAGCCATTTGAAGTTTACATGTAAATTACTATGAGAAATCTCAACTTTTTGTTCCTTGCTTTCTAGTCTTTTTCCATATTGAGCTGCGAAACAGTTCGATAGAAATTCTTATAGAAAATTTTCTCAGCTACAACTTTGCTCCAGATCGTTTCTATGTAAAACGAGACAGGAAAAAGTTATTAATTATTTAAGAGATTGGTAAACATATGACAAGATCAAGCAGCTGCTCTGTAGGCAACACTGTATTTTGCAGTGTGACATAGTAGCCATGATTTTTGTGTCCTATTCAGCGCCCCAGAAACACCAATGTTGCCTGCTGAGCAGTTGATTGAGCATGAGCATAAGACATCAGCGCATTGAACCATTGATAACTTTCGATCCTTGCATTTAATCAAAAAGTGGTCTTCAGCAAAGTTGTAGCTTTCCTACAAGTACAGTTAAAATTTTTTGAAGCAGACCGATATGGTGAATTATTAGATAGATATGAACAAAAATCTTGGTTTTACCATAGTAATTCCAATACAAACTTCAAATGGTTTGTGCCATCTCAGTTTCTCACCAAATGGGTTCAAATTTTGCATCACTCTAATGAACATGTTAAAAGGCAACAGGAGAATACGAAGACTGAAACAAGGGATAATCCATAAACGGAGTAATTAGTGCTTTTACTAGTTTTTACGTACATTCTAAGTCAGAAATATAATTTCGTTTATCCACTCATAAAGCACTCAGTGGAAAAAACGATCAAAGATTTTTGTGACTGAGTTTGTGTAACCAAAAAAGTGGTCCCCGAGTTAAAAAAAACATCAATCTCTCAAAATGTTACGTTCTCTGGGAATGATCCTAAAGTCCATTATATCAAGAGCAAATTTTAATTACGTCGAATGTAACAAAGGTAAACAAAGTCTAGCTATCAGTGTCAATCGATTCTCCTGCTATTACACTATATACTGTCCAAATATAGGATCAAATCCCATTTTTAAATTTATTTACCAGTCAAATTGCTTTTTGACGTAATCACCTTCCGATCAAAATAGTTTTCGATGTTACTTAAGTCACCCAATTTCTATGGAGATGCCGTTTGACTTAAGTAACAGCGCTGAGAAACCCGTGAAAAGTGTACGTTCGTCGTTTCGCTTTCTCATTATTAAAGTGAATAAATCGAACTGTTTGTTTCTAAGATGATTTCTGTGGTCCTAAAATGATGAATGGGCTGCACGTAAGGAGGCGTAATTGATAATTCTCCCGAATATTCTGGTAAATACACTTTGACTTAAGTAACAATAGGGGCCACCAAACGACGTATAATAACTTTTGACTCAAAAACCAGTATTTCTTAGCATGAAAGCTAGCGATTTACCTTTGTATGATTAAAACCCGGCTGAATATGTTAAACATTGCTATCACTATGAGATTATATGTGTTTACTTGAAAATAGGAATAACTTTTCGGTCATCAAAACAAAATTTTATTTTTCTCGGATCGGTGCGAATGTTACTTACGACATAATGAAAATTTGCTCTTGATATGTATTGTTGTGTATCACAATATTGAATGGAAGAACCGTGCATAAATCAAAGGCCGTGCGTGCTCTCTCCAAATGCATAACGAAGCTCTACATTTACGGTATCACCGAGTCCATCCCGAAGTTCAAAATGTTGTTTGGTGAGCAGAGCCGATTTAAATCACGCCTCACTCAAGAACGAACCCCGCATCACTCATCGTGATGCGGGTTTGTGGAAGTCCAGCTTGAGCTCGAGCTCTTTTGCCCTCTTTGGATTTGACACCATTGCTCTTTATATGCGAGGGATGAACTAGCTCACGATGAATGAGCATCTATACGGCATAATCTGAGTTCGAGGAGTTTAGGCAAGCCTGCTCTCGGGTATTTTTATTGGCATAAAATACAGTAGAAGAAACCTATTATTTCGGACCTATGTATATATTTTAAATTTTATACTTAGTAAAACCATAGAGGTAACTCTAAGACAAAAAGGTCCCGAAATAACGTGCTCACGATTTAAAATTGGCTCACTACTTGACTAGCCTATTGGTCCCAAGCAAATCGATTAACGTACCCCATTCTAGTCGAAATTCTAGTGCTACACAATGTTTGTTTTGATTCGCTATGAAAGTTTGACAGATTAAATGAGGGGTTAGCGGATTTTCCTATGTTTCGAGGGGTGCATCGATTAGCTTGGGA